ACGTCAATTGAAAAACGACCCTTATTGCCCATCTCTAGTTATACCTCTCTAACCATGTGCCATTTTCAGCCAAACTATCTACGGTCATTGATACAACGATATCTGAATATCGGGTCTTGACAACCGGTGATCGTCACAGACATTGGAGGCCACTAGATCTTCAACTGAAAGATAAGGCCATTCACAGATTGGAAATTGATTTCGAAATAAATCGGTAAAATTATATTTTTTACAGAAATATTTCTTATAACCCCAATTTACTAACTGGATTTTTCGTGTACTGCTTCAAGTCAACATCATTCTTCGATGCATTCATGTTTGCATTTCCTATCTTTAGATATGACGTTCCGAGTTTTCTGTTCGAGATGGCTAAACTGAGAAGGATTCACTTATCGAGAGGTTTATCGAAGAGATTTTTTCATTTCATTTGATTGCTTTTCAGGTGAAATTGTAATTCTAATTGAATATCTCACTTGTAGTGTTCCTATTTGACGAACAAGAGCACATGCCAGTGGACAATAATCCAATAATTGTAGAANCATCTACATGATTTATATTGTGACGAATTTTTCAACGACACACACGGGAAATCGTGTGCATTGTCGACCACTAACTTTCAGCAACCCTTTTGGACTCTCTCAACCCGGAATTAGAACGACGGGAATAACGAGAGGAGACAAAATGCCAAAAAGGGCGCCAGTCCTTTTAACCGCCAAAGGACAAGGTCACACCGTTGAGCCGCGTTCCACCACTAGCTCAGATAACCGCGGAGGCGTGTGGGAACAGGCTACAATGAGCGTACTCAACAATATGCAATTGTTTACAAAACACAAAAAAAATATATTTTCAAATCATAATTAAGTGTGATCTTTTACTCGTCCATACGAGAATTAGCGTAGGATTCTGTACACGTGCGGGAGAGGACTCCCGCGAGCAAAGACGCTATACAAACCAAAAAAAAAATGTAACTGATCTAGTGATACTAATTAACGAAAATAAATAGTAATAACTTTAAAGACGCGTGGGAGACGCTAAGACGCGAGGATCACCCGCAAGCGACGACGACGCGAGAGCCACACGAATGAAGAAATTGAACAAAGTTCCAAAATCAAAACCGATAAACGGCAACAATATGAATGAAATAATTAATATTCACTAATGAAAATAAAGGAATGAGGCCAAAGGCCACTGAGTGCCGCGTCCCGAAGGCAAAAGGCTCGAATTTTAATACTCAAACGGTGTCCAAAATGGCCACCGCAGAAATGAATCGGAAAACTACGCGAGCACTCACAAATAAAACCACGCTCACCGTTTGATACGCGAAAAACTCCAGGGTAAACTCGTCTGATCCTTCAGTACGGCGACGTCAGGAAAAGGCCAAGAAATCTCCGGGCACACCAAAGTAATAATTATTTTAACAATTTAAAGAAGCTCAAAGAGCGTAATAAAACTTTAATTGCGCAGAGCGACTTAATATGGCTGAACCCCAGCGAAGAGTGTTCGTCGGGGCCGTACATCGCCCCGAGGAACCCGTCAATTTCTCCTACCCCCACCCGATCACGTGATAGAGCGCGAAGAATCCAGGGATTCGACAATTTGATTCTAGCATTTAAAAATGGTTCTAATTCCAAATTCCTTAGTCCCTTAGAAACTGGGACTTGCGCCTCGCGGTCGGTGGATGCGATCCGCGTTGAGCGGCGCAGGAGTCAACATAATCCGATGCTCCCTCAATGTTGTAGCATCGGTTTTTTACTGGACGGCCTTGTACCGCCGATCCATCGGTGAGGTGGTGGGGGTTCGCACGTAGAGGCCTGAGATGCCAGCTGGCGTGCGACGATCGTCTTTCGCGTCCTACGTGGTGTGAGTCTCCCAGACTCGGTGTGTACGTGCTCGCCGGTGTGCTGCTCCTCAGCTATAGCGCCGTCTTGTAGCCCTTCCCGATGCTCCGCTCCACTTCTTTCGCCACGAAGCTCACGTAACCCATGGTGAGCGCGATCGACAGAGTTCGAGAGAATGATGAAAAGGAAGTAAATAATAGAAATAAAAAAAATAAAATGACAATTGTGGCTCTGGGT